TGTCAGTAATTGTCGACTTTTTATCTTCTGTTGCCTTTTAGATTTTTGGGCCTGACACAACACAGGCTGAGCTGTTTGAGAACACAGTCAAAAGCCAAATGAGTGATTTCTTGGATGGGAAGAACGCACTGATATTCACCTATGGTGTAACCAATGCTGGGAAAACCTTCACAATCCAAGGTACGGACAGAAGCACAATATCCTTGTGAAGTTCAAGTCGTGCAAAGTTCTTCTGGTAATGTTTTGAAGTCCTGCAGGATCTCCAAAAGAGCCAGGGATACTGCCTCGAGTGCTGGAAAGCACTTTTCAGTACATTGGAGAACATCAGTATCGGGGAATGGACCTGAAGCCCTACCTCAGGAATGGTGTGCAGTCTCTGGATTTTCACCAAGTAAAGCAGGAAAGAATCACTAAAGCTGCCATTTTTGCTTCATTTAAAGAAGTAAGGACTCAGTTCTGTCAAATGTATTCCAGAAAAGAGAAGATGGGAATAAAGCACTTGAGTGTAGTGCTGTTTACATTCGTATGTCTCTCCTCTGGTCTAGGAGTGTGATTCTCTCAGAGGCAGTAGTTGTCTAGAGTCTTGTTCGCCCAGCCATCTTTCATCCTCTTCTGCATCTTCAACTCAAACGGGTACTACTCATTAGAATAGTGATTATTGTTGTGGATTCTTATTATTTCTATATTTACGGTCTTCTGTGCTCCTACTTTAGTGCTGACCAGCAACCAGGCAGAAGCAAATGACAGCCAGTTTGCCTTATGGGTGGCTTTCTTTGAAATCTACAATGAGTATGTGTACGATCTTCTCCAGCCATCTTTGTGCTCCAAATCCAAGAAACGTGCCTGTCTCCGTGTATGCGATGATGGAGCTGGAAATGCTTATGTTAAAGGTGTGGAAATGACCTTGGCTTATGTTCTTAAATTATCAGGGGAATGTTAGCATTAATGATTAAAGGAAAAACATTTGTTTTGATTTCAGACCTCATTTGGATCAACATTCATAACCTGGGTGAAGCCTCCAAGCTGCTACACTTTGGGAATAAAAACAGAAGTGCTGCAGCCACAAAGATGAACCACTCATCTAGCCGAAGGTAAAACCAGTTAAGTTTATCATGGATGTGGTGTTAAACAACCTGTTCAAAACTCACACAGGCTTTCCTTACAGCCACAGCATATTTACCATGAAGTTACTGAGGATCAATGGAGGGACAGCTGAAAGGGTCTCTGAGTAAGTATACGAAAGTAGAAGTTAACTTTAACCTGCTCAGAAAACTTGTGTATTGTAAAATGATTTTGTAACATTGCAAAAGTCCGTCCGTCCGTGACTGAGATAAAAGATGGGAGGGATTAAAAAGACAATAAGCAATTTAATATAAAGATGAAAAATAATTGACTCAAAATTAAACAAATGTGTAATGCTAAATAAGAATGTGGGTTTGTGTTTTTTTAAGGCAAATAAAGCATACTAACAATCTAAAATGGCAATCAATAAATGTAAAGTGTACTTAATAATATTTTTTGCAACTAATTTCTCAAGTTGAAAATCATGCTAAAAATCCCTACTAACAATCATGGTTCCATCTCAGTTCATCAATATTTAAAACGGTGGTTGTCCTCCTAAAAGTACTAAAATGCATTATTGCTGCAGTAAAGCTAATGAAGATCATATTTAAATCAAAAATGTAATCTAGTACAGTGAAAAACAAAAGTTTTGCACTTGGACAGAGTGTGTGATATCTTGATACATGCTCAATCATCCAGGTAAGTAAATCCCAAAGAGTTGACTTTAAACAATAACTGAACCTAGCCAAATTAGTGGGCTAGGCCGCGTCAGTTATTGTGCAAATGTATTGTTTATAAGATTGCAGTCAGCTGAGACTGAAGAAGTCACTTGGATCAGTGACTCCCACTAAAAACGCTACGTTCAGATGAACAGAATGAACTCTTTGGGAATGGTATCCAATACTTATAGTAACGAAAATAATAGTGCAGTAAAAAATGGAATATTGTGTCAACGTGATATTTATCTTGCATCTTTGCTATAGAAGTGCTTCTCATAGTGGTTTTTGGGATCATGTTTTAAATGTTAAAATAAACTAAAATGGTTCTTCAAGTACAGGAAAATAAAATGGATCACATGAAATGAGTTTCCCTAAGGGAATGTTTTGGGGCCTTCAGCGGGAGTTATTAGGTGAGAACTCTGATTCATTGCTGGGACTGAGGCACTAACATGTCCACCTTTTTTGTAAACATAAATTGTGAAACTATGGTTCTTCTGTTTGTGTTTTTCTCTCGCAGGTTCTCTCTCTGTGATCTGGCCGGCTCAGAAAGATGCAACAAAACAAAAACTTTTGGAGAGAGGCTTAAGGAGGCGGGTAACATTAATAATTCCCTGCTTATTTTGGGGAAGTGTATCACTGCGCTCCGCAACAGTGGGCCTGACAGGTACAGTGAGACTATCACCACCAGAGCAAACATGAGTGTTGACACAAAATGCTAAAGCTTTTGTTTGTTTTTAAGTAATGTAACTTTTGTCACATCTTGTCCTCGTTAGCGTTATTGTATGTTGGTTATGGTGTTGGCGAAGGAATAAATGAACCTTCATGTCGGATGGTTATGTGTTTTTAAACCTTTTGCATGCTTTTATGTTGTCATCCATCAGAACGAGGAGCATCCCCTTCCGAGAAAGCAAGCTCACCAAGCTGTTCCAGGCTTTCTTCTGCGGGAAGGGAAGACCCTCCATGATTGTCAACATTAACCAGTGTGCTTCCACCTATGACGAGACTCTCCATGTCATGAAGTTCTCAGCTGTTGCCAAACAGGTTAGCCCGAGTTCAAAATGCAGAAAAGGCCTTGGTGACGTGAAGCACTGATCTCAGCTCTGATTTGTGTAGGTGGTGCAGGTGATTCCAGATAAGGCTCTAGAATCTCTGGCTCCTCGTCTCGTAGGTCATGATGGCAAGCCCCTGCTGAGCAACGGGGTGTTTGACAGCAACGTCCTGGAGAGTTACCTGTCTGAAGATGAGCTGCTTGATGAAGAAGAGGAGGCTGACATGTCTTTGTTGCCACAGAGTGTAAAAAAAAAAAAAGTCTTCCATTAAACACTGATTTAGCTGAAAGCATGCCCTATGCCCAACTGTAGCTTGAAAGTAGCAGCAGCATGCCTGTACTCACGTTCTTGAAAGATAATGGCTAAGATCATAGAAATTTATTTATTTTTTGGTCTCATTTCTAATATTAATGTTCATTTGTTTCAATCTTTTATTTTTTTTTTATAGGAACTTTTGAATGTGGTTGAGAACTTAAGAACAAAGCTACTGGCTGAGCGAAGAAAAAACCTGCTGCAAGAAATCGAAATTCGCAAAGAAATGGGAGACGCCATGTTGCAGCAGCTGATGGAAAGTGAAGAACTCCGCAAGTATGTGCAGTTTTGCAAAAGCGGGCCAGCAATCTTCCATAAATGTGTATGCTGTTGGTAGTGATTTCAGGTGAAGTTGATTATTTTCCAATATTATCTTCTGCAACTGTGAAGTCGTCAGATCGAAGAGCTGAAGGAGAGCTACCGGGATAAACTGGAAAACACATTTGAGATGTACAAGGATGCTATTAAAGAACATGCTTATCACAGCGCTATGACCAATCTGGAGGATAACTATGTACCGCTCGATGAGTTCACTGCAGAACAGGAGAAAGTGGAGGTATGTTTCAGTTGGCTGTTGAAATATCCCGTCTAAACTTTTTCCCAGGGTCTTGCTAAATTCACTTGTGTACTGATGTAAGGGAATCTTGAATAAAAGATTTGTCAAACAATGGATCAATCGGTAAACTGCACATTAGCTATGCTGACAATTTAAGTAGCCAACACCCTGAGATACTGATGATGAACACAACAGCTTTGACTCTTCTTGACTGTGTAGGCCCTCAGGCGTAAAGTGTCAGAGTTGGAGGCCTTGACTTCGAGGAC